TTCCCTCTCATTCATCAGACCTGAGCTCAGTCCAGGTTGCATCAGTCATCTTTTGCCTGCAGTCATTTGGCTTTTCCAGCCTTCATTTTTCCTGATTTTTAGAAATAATTGTATGTGCCAAATGTAACCAAAGTCCACCTCAAAATACACACTTTGCATAAGGCATGCTGCTTGCACTCCCTCCCCATCCCACATGCACACGTACATATACACTCTACATTTATGTGGTTTCTCATCATCCATACTAGCCTTGATCCTGAGAAGCAGTACTGAGGTCATTTTTAACATGCATCTAGAAACCCACATCTGCTGATTAAGGCTTGCAAAGAAAAGCAAATAAATAAATTGCTTATATGTGCACTATTCTGTAGTAAGGTCCCTTCTCCTCGTAACCATGCCAGCAAATGCACCAGGTCAGCTACAGCATACACTACAAAGCATCCAAATAGACCATCATTGGTTTTGCTGACAAAGTGAAAAACCTTCAAAACCTCTTATCATTCAGTCATGTATTCTTAAATACACATAAAACCAGCACACATTTACGAGCACAACAGAAACTTATTCATTTCTACTATTCCCGGGGTAGTGGAGCATTAGCTTCCCGTAGGAGATGAAAAACCTAGTCGTATACATACTGTTTTAAAACTGACACTTTCTTTCTCATTCAAGTTTGCATAGTCTGGGAAGGAGTTTTCAGCTGGGACATTTGCAGGTCTGGTCCTTCAAAACTCTGGCAACAGTCTGTGACTTCAGTAGAAATATTTGCAGGAGTGAGCATTACTCGCATGATGAAAACTTTGATCTTCCTAGTGACCTTGACAACTGAACAGGGCCACATATCAAAGAGATCTTGTGTTCAAGCCAAAGCCAACTGCAAACCAGAGCATACCAAACTTGGCAAGAGATTTGTACCCAAGCCCAAGCCCTGCCTTATAGTCATTACAGTTTTCACAATATTAACATTGGAAAATGCCCAACACGTGGAATCTTCCCCAAAAGAAAATATCTGATGCTATCTTCTGCTTAGTTCCAAGAGGTTTTGAGTTTCAAATCATTAATTTAAAACACATTCCAAGGGCCAGCACATATTGAACCAGTGAGCATTTCTTTAGCGTCTGTAGATTGTTTTATTCTCAGTAGGACTTTAAAGAATTTCTTTTAAGCCTTGCAAGGATCCTTTCCTGTGCGAGAGACAATTAGTTGGACAAAGTACTAGATAGTACAGTCCTGCTGTCCTGGCACAAAAAGACAGTCGTTCTCCCAAATGTTGCCTTCTTCATAGTCGACAAGAGGGATGCCACTATCTAGGAAAGCTTGTTATAAATAAGAAATATTAGGTCAAGAATGCGCCAGTGTTAGGAGAAGTCTAAATCTTTATTAGCTCCTGCATCCAAGAGGGCATGTAGAAAAGTCACACAAGGAAGGGCCGGAACGAAACCCAGCTGGCAAAGTACAATTTGCAATGGGTTCTGGTTTACAGCGTTCATTTGTCACTGTTCAGGATTTTGCCAACCTCATTATACATATCTTGGATAAATGAAAAAAGTTCCCACGTTGCTAAGTTGTGAAACGGATGAAAA